AAAAGCTCATCTGGATCACCTAAAGTCTGTCACATTCATGCCGGAGTGTACACTCACACAATCGGGGTCTACTGCCCAGTCCTGCAGGGGTTTCTCCGAGCCGCTGAAGATGAGTTCGGAGCAGGAGAAAGGAGCGTCGAGCTGCCAGCTTTCTGCCGACACGCCGCCCAGACACAGCTCCCCGCTCTCTGCATCCATGACCTGCAAGTCAAATATATTTTATTATTTTAAAAAGGTCAAAGGTTGGGGTGCTGGTGGCGCAGTGGTTAGTGCGCGCGCCCCATGTATGGAGGCTGTCGTCTCAAGCGGGCAGCCCGGGTTCACATCCCACCTGTGGCCTCTTTCCCACATGTCATTCGCCACTCTCTCTCTCTCTCTCTGTCTCTCTCTCTCTCTCTCTCTCTCTCTCTCTCTCTCTCTCTCTCTCTCTCTCTCTCTTCTACATTAAAGACACAAAAAGCCCAAAAATAAAAATAAAAAAAAAGGTCAAAGGTGAAAGATTAAAAAGGTTGTCTAATTACACACCGACCTGTAGGAGAGTAAACGCAGCACAAAACAAACATCACAGGAGGAGGATATCCTGGTAAACACACACACACACACACACACACACACTGACCGTACAGGTCTGACTGAACAGAAACCTGATAAGCTGCGAAACGTGTTCTTCTTCTCTCCGCCTTTTAAACGTCTTCCTGAAGAACAGAAGCGTGAACACACACACACACACACACACACGACACACAGACACACACACACACAGACACACACAGACACACACACACACGACACACACACACACACACACGACACAGACACACACCCACAGACACACACACAGACACACACACAGACACACACACAGACACACACACACAGACACACACACACACACAGACACACACACAGACACACACACACAGACACACACACACACGACACACACACAGACACACACACACGACACAGACACACACACACACAGACACACACACACACAGACACACACACACACAGACACACACACACACAGACACACACACACACAGACACACACACACTCTTCTCTCTCTTTGTGGTATCACTCCTCTGTCTTCAGGTGCAGCTCACCTGGGATCTTTTTCCACAGCTGGTAGAAGAACTATGACGACCTTTAAGTCGTTTCTCTTCACCGACAGTTGAACACCTTAACAATCAATTATTTAAATGGAATTGAGCTTTTCTTTTCTCGTCTTCTGACTCTGGGGATCGAACCCCCGACCTTCCAGTGCAGAGACGACTTTACCACTGAGCCACAGCCGTTAGCAGTTGTGGAAGAATCATGAATAATTAATGAGCAACAAACTGCACGTCTTGTTCTCAGTTAATGTTTTAAAATAAAAACAGTTTGAACGAATGAAACAACGAGGCTCTCGCTTGAAAACAACGTACGACTTTCCGTATTTCACCGCGCTGCCAAACGTGGCGCCGCCGCCGTTTCTACACTAACCAGGCTGAAACTCCTTTTTAAAACCAACATTAAGTATCAAAGTCAAATAAATATATTTAAGCGTCTTCAGTAGTAATTACAGTCGTTTATGAGTTGCAAATGTGAAGGCGCCCTCTTCTGGTATAAAATGGTATTACACACGGCCGCCGCGGTAAAATTGTAAACAGATTGTCGGTTAATACATTTTTTAATCGGTTTAATTCGTAACGCTGATTAATCGATGAATCATTTACATCCCTAAGGTGATTTTATTTTACAGTTTTGTTGTTTTTATTTTTCCCGTCGTGTTCAGAGCCGTCGTCTCATCTTTCAGGAACATCTCGCACAGTTTCATCTTTTAGACGAGCTTTATGTTTCTGCTGGGATCAACGAGCGAACCCAAAACACAATGACATCGTCTTCTTTCTCTTCTGTGTCATATTCATCAGCTTCATGTTCCTTTTTCTCCAACACAATCTTCTCAACTTTTCATCGTCTTCATGTTCAGCTCATTGAAATCTTCAGGTCGTTCTATGTTGAGAAACAGACTTTTATTTGAGTATTTAAATCTTCTACATTGTAGGCTGTGTGTCATGTCAGTGTTGCTGCACTCATCCTGTGGGATCATCATTCAGTGTTTTTAAACATCTGGTATCTGAACGACTTCAGGAAACTGAAACAAAGTGAAATCATTGAACTGGAAACGGTTTGCATGTGTGTGTGTGTGTTTCAGTGTCATTATTGTTAACTGTTTACATGTTTGTTGTTGTTTTGCTGCAGGACAAACCTGGAGAAGAGACCTCGGTCCTCCCTGCTAAAACTCTTTAATCACTTCTACTTTAAGTTAATGAAAAAGTTCATTATCTGCTCACATGAAGAAGAACCAGTATGACGTAGCATGAATCTAAATACTCATGTTAAGTGTTCATGAGTCCTGATCCTGATCCTGCTCCTGCTCCTGATCCTGATCCTAATCCTGATCCTGCTCCTGCTCCTAGTCCTAGTCCTAGTCCTGGTCCTGGTCCTGATCCTGATCCTGATCCTAGTCCTAGTCCTAGTCCTGCTCCTGCTCCTAGTCCTGCTCCTGCTCCTGATCCTGATCCTAGTCCTGATCCTGATCCTGATCCTGATCCTGGTCCTAGTCCTAGTCCTGATCCTGATCCTGCTCCTGCTCCTGCTCCTGCTCCTGCTCCTGATCCTGATCCTAGTCCTAGTCCTAGTCCTAGTCCTGATCCTGATCCTGCTCCTAGTCCTGCTCCTGATCCTGATCCTGATCCTGATCCTGTTTCCTGATCCTGATCCTGATCCTGATCCTAGTCCTGATCCTGATCCTGATCCTGGTCCTAGTCCTAGTCCTAGTCCTAGTCCTAGTCCTGATCCTGATCCTGGTCCTGGTCCTGGTCCTGGTCCTGATCCTGCTCCTGCTCCTGCTCCTGCTCCTGATCCTGATCCTAGTCCTAGTCCTAGTCCTGATCCTGATCCTGCTCCTAGTCCTGCTCCTGATCCTGATCCTGTTTCCTGATCCTGATCCTGATCCTGATCCTAGTCCTGATCCTGATCCTGATCCTGGTCCTAGTCCTAGTCCTAGTCCTAGTCCTAGTCCTAGTCCTGATCCTGATCCTGGTCCTGGTCCTGCTCCTGCTCCTGCTCCTGATCCTGCTCCTAGTCCTAGTCCTAGTCCTGATCCTGCTCCTGCTCCTGATCCTGCTCCTGCTCCTGCTCCTGCTCCTGCTCCTGATCCTGGTCCTGGTCCTGCTCCTGCTCCTGCTCCTGGTCCTGCTCCTGCTCCTGCTCCTGATCCTGCTCCTAGTCCTAGTCCTAGTCCTGATCCTGCTCCTGCTCCTGATCCTGCTCCTGCTCCTGCTCCTGCTCCTGCTCCTGATCCTGTTCCTGATCCTGATCCTGGTCCTGGTCCTGGTCCTGATCCTGATCCTGATCCGGATCAACAGGAGATATCAGATTCACCTTCCATGTTAATACTCACAGTGCAATCACAACCTCCTTCTTCTTCTTCGTTCTGTTATTGTTGTTGTTGTTTCCGGTTCTTCCTGGCGGCTCGGCCCATCAGCCGCTGCAGGAGGTCGGACACCGGACACCGGACACCGGACACAACACTCCGCTCTCTCGCTGCTCGGTGTCAATAAAAAAGTCCAGCTGGCAATAAAAGAGACGCCCTCTCTTCCTACTTCTGTCTTCTTCTTCTTCTACGCATGTCACTCTGCCGTCTTCTTTGTGGAATAATAATAGTGGACATCTTAATAGTAGCCTACAGCGCCACCTGCTGTGTCGGAGGAGGCTCTGCCAGACCGAACAAAAGATAAAGATAAACTTTATTGATCCCCCATGGGGGAAATTTTGCATTACAGCAGCTTAAGAGAACAGGAAAAAGGAATAAAATTATTAAAAATAAAAATAAAACATATGTACTAGGAGCTAAAGAGCGGGAAATAATATATGTTAATCCATTGTTCATGTAAAAAATATACAAAATTAATTGTGTCATAAATGTACAGCTTCTAGTTTAAATTAATTTAGTTTTTTATTTATTTCTAACATGTAAAGAAGAAACCCAGACATTTGAAATGCAATACCAACATTGAGCCAGCAGATGTCACCGTTGAAACGGCATTAAACAGTTTCACATCTTCACCTTTAAGACGTCTCGTCATGTTTCAGTGTAACCCTCCCAGCAGCCTCTTTTTGATTGGACGCAGACGTGAGCAGCCAATAGGGAGCCAGGAGAGACTTTTTCTGTGGGTTAAAAAGTTGTGTTCAAAGTCGGGATGTGATCAATTCTGTTTTTGAGTGCTCATTATGAAGCATGGCTATTTCTAAAAATACTTAAAACACTATCACAAGCATCTTTCATTCAGCAGCATCGTAGAAAATCACAACTCAAGTTAAAGAAAGAATGAATGAAGGACATTTGAAGAATCCCACCAGAGACTGAAACACAGGAGTAAAAGCTTAAAGTAAAAGCAACAGGTTGCTCTCTCCTGTTGTGTTTGACTCTCTCATGTTGTTGATCTTGAACGCAGCCCTGCAGCTTCCTGAATTCCTGCTTTGGATTCTCTCAAAACCACAAAAGAAGATAAAAGAAGAGACACAGAGGGGACTTTTTAAAGCCGAGAACTCAAATAACAAACGGCTGAGTCAAGTCTCCATTTCTGATTTAGATAAAAGCTCTTTGTTTTTTTTAGGATGTCTGCATCACAGCAGGACGTGCGTGACTTTTTGGTGTACAGCTTTGCAGAGGAGCAGGACTTCCGGCAGGTCACAAAATGTACTTTTTAAAGTAAAGATACACTGTAAAACTCAAGCTGGCTTTAAGTTGTTAAATATGTAGTGAGCAGCTGAAGAAGAAACTGCAGTCGATGCAGAGAATAATGAAACATCATTTATTATCATATAACAGAAACTAGACGGTGTAGATTTGATAAAGTATGCAGACATGTCACAGTAAATTGTAAATTGAGAAATGGACTTGAGTTTGTATATTTCTTTTCTAGTTTGGCTTCAACCTTGGGGTTAAGTGTCTTACCCAAGGACACATCGGCTGTAGCGATTGGGGCCCTAGGCAAAACATTAATTGGGGGTTCTTACAACCAGCATCTCTTTCTTTTTCCACTCCCATCACGATAATTCCTCTTCATTTTCCTGCGGTAACTTTCATTGACAAACTTTGGTTTTCACTGTAATAATGCATTAGACAACTATAGCAGGGGATAGAGAGTAAGTTCTATCATAAGGGGTTCCCTTAGGGAGGTTTTCTACTGTCATTGCAAAATTTGCACATTTTGAGGCACTGCTGTGATTTAAGGTTTGTCAGCCCTTAGGGGCCCACTACTCGCCTGGGGCCCCGAGAAGTTGCCTGCCTTTGACCTCTAAAAGTCAAATAAGAATTTATAAGATCTTAAATAATAATAAAAATAAAAAATAAAACGTATTTCAGTCGGGACCACTTTGTCTAGAAAAAAAAACTTTATTTGAAAAAAGGCGTCGATGACAACAGCATGTTGAAAATCCAGAAGAGCTTTGGTGGAGGAGGGTTGCAAATGTGGCCTGCAGGGGGAGCTGAAAAGAGCAGGCAGGCTATGGAGCAGCTTTAATGAGAGCCAACAGGATGCTTTGAAGCAAATCAGCTGGTTAGGGCTTACATGAGATCAGCTGTTATCAAAAACACAGAGCGACTCCGTGGTCAGCCTGAACTAACGCTAACGATGTATGAACGCTGTGATTTCATGGTAACAGTTTGTATTTGTGTTCAGGTCCTGGACATCTGCAGGGACGCCTTTGATGGACTGGACTACATGCCTGTCACCTTCCACCGCTGGCTGCATGAGGCTGGACGCCTCGTCTTCATCGCCAGGTTGAAGGGCAGAGTAGTAAGGACAGAATACATAAAACATAACGAGAAATGAACGCGCATGTACACGATTTTCATTTTATTTCATTTTACGCATAACTGACCCACAGCTCACCTGTGTGCTCACCTGCTCCCCCTACAGGTGGCTATGGAGTCTGTGCTGATGGTAGACGGTGGTGAGACGGTTGTTTTTCAGGGTCTAAGGGTGGCCCCTGATCTGAGGAGCAGAGGCATCGCCGGCGCCATCCAGGGGCACATCACTGATCACCTCCGCCATCTTTACCCACAAGTCTCTGCTTTCCGCATGAGCCGAGGAGACCAACTGTCGCCGCAATTAATGGCCAAGTACCGCCTCATCGCTAAAGAGGTGTGTGTGTGTCAAATTCAATTCTGATTTGTCTGTACATCAGTGAATTTCAGTTTATGGCTGTTTCTTAGCTAGTTTAGCTAATCTGACAGGGTGACGAGCTGTCAGACTGAAAAGGAAGATCTGTCCTGAATAAGAAATTATGTTCAAACTAGGCGACAGAGCTGGAAATATATATATATATATATATATATATATATAAAATACAAAAACTCAGGACTTCTTGGTTAGAACTGAACTGTAGATGTTGACTGTCGCCCCCTGCAGGCCATCCTGTCTCTGTGCTGCGAGGCAGAGGACCTCGGCCTCTTTGTCGCTGAGCTGCGCTCCAGACTCTCCTCGCAATGTGACTCCGCCCCCCGCAGGCCAGTGACCCTGAACCAGCAGCAGACAGAGACTCTGATCCTGACTGACCATGTGGTGTCCAACCTGCTGCCCAGTAAAACCATCATTAATAACTGGGAGCCTCTGAGGCCGATGGAGGCCAACATGGAGATTCTGCGTCGCAGGGGGCTGACGTGCATTGTAGACCGTGAGTTTGAACCCACCGCTATCAGCCTGTGCACCACGCCGTACGCTGTCCCCTACCGCCATGACGCCCTGTACGTCAATATCAACATCTTTGGCCGCAGTTTGGCTTCTGTTTGTGCCGTGTTTCTGGCTCAACTTGAAGCTTTGCTGCCCAGTCTCCATGGTTACCTGATCTTCTACACCTACGTGGACCCTGACGTTTGGCCGGGGCTGCACCAGACCTGCAGGAACAAGAGCAACGTGTCGTACTTCAGCGACTACTGTGAGGAACTCGTACTGGAGAAGATCCTCTGAGCAGTCTCATCCCGGACTTCACATTAACAACGACAACACAACAAATGTGGTTGAATTTCAGCTGTGGCGTGTAACACAGTCCCTCCCATTAGACACGTTGGAGGGTTGAATATTATGTTTTTTCTATTGTAGCATCCTATAGCTGGGATTAAATGGTGTACAGTCTGTGTGTGTGTGTGTGTGTGTGTGTGTGTGTGTGTGTGTGTGTGTGTGTGTGTGTGTTTGTGTGTTTGTGTGTGTGTACAAAGGAGTACCTTTGTTTTGTTAGCTAATACCAGACGATAACAACACACTACGTGATAGTTTTCTGACTGAAAATAACATGAAAACACCTCCACAGAGAGAACACGGTACCATCGGTCTGACTGATTTAATTACAGAAGAAGACGACTGAGCTGCTAATAAACTCAACAGTTACATCTTAAACATCCCTTTAGATGCACGAAGCAGCCATATTGGATCTGAACTCGGCCTAATTTTTTTTCTCTGAGTTTCCAAGTCCTAATTACGACTTCAGGGGGCGTTCCAGTTGACACTTCCGACTGGGAACTCGTAAATTTCCCACTTCCGAGATCAACTTGAACGCAGCATAAACATGTGTTGTATTTTTTGTGTTTAGAAGCTTCCATTTTTGTTTTGTTTTAAAAATAGAGTTTCTTTCTATGTGGAATGTTGTTGTTCTAATCTGCCTTTGCTGTAGACAGAATGTGCTGACATCATCAGAGGATCAAAAGCAACCTTCCAAAGACATCACAGTATTAAATAGGACCCAAATCTTTAATTGACTTGAGATTCAGGACACATCTAGGTCAAAGGATTCACACAGGGACTACAAACAGTCGGCACAATGAACAACACAAACACTAACGTCGAGATGAGTCAGGCAGCGAAGAAAAATGAGCTTGAAGTGAAAGATGAGGAATCTGGCAAAACAAGTCAGACCCCTGTTACTCCTCTGGAAGAGCATGGACAAGAAAATATTCTTTCAGTGGAAAGCGCCGAAAGTACAACTGAGGAAAGTGAACTGACTAATAATATTGCTTCCTTTGAGATTGCTGGTGATGATTCAGGTGAGGAATTTGACGTGCCTCCTGTCGTCACAAGAAGTGATCACATTGCGTATCAAGCAGCTCAAGCTTCTATCACAGATGAGCCAGCTGTGAGGGATGAAGCTGATGAAGCTGCATGTGAGGCTTCAGAACGCCCATCGAACCCTAAGACCGACTTATACCGAGACAATGAGTGGATGAAATAACCACTGAATGTATCGTGTTCGGGCTGGTGGAAAAGATTCTAAAAAAATTGCCCACTAGCTGGTCCCGTGAGGGCTCCGAGAGCGCTGTTAAAACATTGAAAGCGATGATGTGGGCAGAGCTGGAAGCACTGAGATTGTCGTCAAGCTAAGTCCTAATCATATCAAAAAGATGTACAAGGCAGTGCAC